GTGACCTCAATGGCACTTACTATTTATGTATATACTGGTGTGTGAGTGTACATATGGCACAACCCAACTGTAGAAATAAAAGAAAAAAAAATTATAGGAATAATGTGGGTCTCCCAGACACTGAACTCAGGTGATCAGACTTAGCGGCAACCAACTTTAACCACTGAGACAGTTCTCTGGAATTCATTTGTCATTCTAAAAGAGTGATATGAACAAGTGTTTAACTCCTATATATAAACTAATACATTCCAATAAAAAGAATATCAGTATATAATTTCCATTTTCAAATAAGATTTATTATTCAAACTGTCCTGGTTTCCACAATCTTAGAAACAAATATGTTCACAATTTAAAAAGAAGACACTATTTTACTTATATAATGTTTCAACTAATCTTTTTATCATCAGTGAGATGACTCAGTGGGAGTTGTCTGTGGTGTGCAAAGCTGGCAATGTGACCTTGATCATCATATAAAAATAGCCAAGGTAGGGCTGGAGAGATGGCCCAGCAGTTAAGAGCACTGGCTGATCTTCCAGAGGTCCTGAGTTCAATTCCAAGCAATCAAATGGTGGCTCACAACCATCTATAATGTGACCTGATATGATCTGACACACAGGTATACATGAAGATAGTACACTCATATACATAAAATAAATAACTTTGAATAAACCCCACAAAGTTGTCTTCCAAGCCATATCTGTCATGGCTTAAAACCCTATAATAACATTACATACACACAACAGAAATGTTTCTTTTAAAATAAATCTCAGTGCTGTTATAGTATCAACTATCTCCAGGTAATTCCCATAGAAGGCAGTATTTCAAGATGAAGTACCAAATAGTAACCAATAAGAACAAGAAGAAGCAGAGCAATCAAACTGTATTGTGTGATATGCAGTTGATTGCTGATTATACTACTTCATTGCATCTCTACCAGAATGATGAAAATGTTGCTTTGGATAAACATATGAGGTATTTAATATTTCCTATATTATCTTCTATCAAGAATTTTAACATTAACATTGTTAAAATGTGTTGACAAAACAGGACACATTGGGGGTATAGCTTCTACAACTAGACTTGTACTCAGGTGGCTGACATGTGAAGTCAAGAGGTCAAATGTAGCCTAGACTAATTACACCCAAGCAAAGCTGGATAACAAAACAACACTTCATGGGATCTTGTGAAAGTCTAAAAAAAAAAATTAACTACCCACTCCCCATTCACAGACAATCTTACTTGAAAAGTGTGGCCACACACTGCCCGATACATGAATGAACAATGGACCACTTAGGTGACAGGGATCCCATTCTATACATTGCAGCATAAAAATGCCTATCAACAAGTGAAAGTGCAATAGAAGATGAACAGAAGCCACAGAAGGAATATCAGTAAAGCCTAATAAACTTCTGTAAATGGATATGCCACACATATAACAAACTTTAGTATCTAATCCAAATGTTTCAAAATATAAACTACAACCACAATTGTTGGTCTCCACCATTACACTTAAGTGCACATGGTAAATAATTTACTTCATTCAAGGCTATGATGGAAACAAAAAGATGAAACAAGAGTTTTCTTCTTGAAACCAAAGGCAACTATGATGTCTAAAGTCTGTGTTAAATCATTTACATGACTAGAGTGTTTCTCTTGTATGAGTTCTTTCCTACTTCCTGACATCAGGGTGATATATAAAGGCTTTAAAAACATCTGAAAGGCTAGAGACATGGCCAAGAGGTTAAGACAAGTTCATTCCTAGGACTAAGATAAGGTTTTGGACAACTTCCTGTAATTCCTGCTACAAGAAGATCCAAAGATCTAATCTTCTTGGGCACCAACACACTGCTTGGAATTGAACTCAGAACCTCTGGATCAGAAGCCAGCACTTTTTAAATTTTTTTTCTTTATTGGTATTATTTATTACAATGTATTCACTTTGTATCTCAGCTGTAGCTCCCTCCTCCCAGTCCCATCCTCCCTTCCCTCTATGCTCCTCCCACTGTGTCCCTCCCCTAGTCTACTGATAGGAGAGGTCATCCTACTCTACTATCTGACCCTAGCCTATCAGGTCTCATCAGGACTGTATGCATTGTCTTCCTCTGTGGTCTGACAAGGCTGCACCCCACCCCAGGGGGAGATGATCAAAGAGCCAGCCACTGAGTTTACGTCAGAGACAGTCCCTGCTCCCTTTACTAGGGTACCCACATGGAGACTGAGCTGCTCATGGGCTACATTTAAGCAGTTCCTCTCCATGCATGGTCCTTGGTTGATTCATCAGTCTCTGCAGGACCCCGTGAGCCCAGATTTTTTTTTTACTCTGTTGGTCTCCTTGTGGAGCTCCTGTCTCCTCCAGGTCTTTCTATCTCCCCCTTCTTCCATAAGATTCCCTGCACTTTGCCCAAAGTTTGGCTATGAGTCTCAGCATCTGACTCAATACCCTCATGGGTAGAGTCTTTCAGAGGGCCTCTGTGGAAGGCTCCTGTACTGTTCCCTGTTTTCTCCCACTTCCGATGTCTATCCTGTTTACCCTTCTGAATGAGGAGTAAGCCTTGTTTAGCTTCTGTAGGACTATAGATTTTAGTATGTTTATACTATATGGTTAATATCCACTTATAAGTGAGTATATACCATATGCTGCCAGAGCTCTTAACTGCTGGGCTAGAGATAGGTCAGCCATTAAAGTCTAAGCTCACAATCATAAATTTAAAAAAAATTGGTTCACTCAACAGAAAGTGAGAATTTAGTCTTTAATTCAGAGAAATCTATCCTTCTCAGTTGGTGTTATCATTTGGGAAGATTTAGGAAATCCTGCTCTGCTGTAGGAAATACGTCACTTGGGGTGGACTTGAGAGTTTATATCCACACACCATTCCTAGTTTCCACTCTATTTTATGCTTCAGGTTGAGGATGTAAGCTCTGAGCCTCATGCTTTAGCTGCCATGTGTGACAATTTTTTGTGTTGCCACTTTCATTGTGTGGAACTATCAGCCAAATTAAACCCTTTCATAAGTTGCCTTAGACATTGTGTTTTATCACAGTAACAGAAAAGGCACTAATGCACACCCATAAAGTTTTATACCTGGATGAGCTATTTCATGTAACTGAAGAGAATTATGAAACCTATAGCTTAAATTCATAGAGCTTTGTCCATATGAGTTTTCAGGTATAAACAAAATAAACAGGGACAGCATAAAGCTTGAATATATTGCTGACACTTGACTGATATTTTCTCCAGAATCAATAATCTTTTGTAGCTGAATGTGTACTGGCTAAAGATCCTATCAAATTCTTTATAGTCACAGATTCCTTATAGTATAAATTCTTTCAGGTCCTCAAAAACTATCATTGTATGCAAAGGCCTTAACAGATTGATTACATCATATTAAAGGTTTTATCTTATATAAAGATATCGTTATGTGCAAAACTTTATCACACTGGCTATATTTATGGGGCTTCTCTGAAGTATGACTTTTTATTATGTCAAAGACTACTGTTACATGAAGAGACTTTACCATATTGCTTACATTCATTGGGTTTCTCGCCAACATGTGTTCTTTTATGTATTCATAGATAACTGTGTTGTAAAAAGGCTTTTTTTTTTAGTATGGTCTGGTGCTTTGTATTTGTTGCTTGCCCCCCCAAGATTCTTACTGTTAATGAGCAAACTGTCATGTACTCCAAGTATTGCTGTTTTTAACATTGCCTAAGAATTTATTCCTGATTGGTTAATAAAAAAAGACATGTACCTGGGCAGGGCGAAAGGAGATGGGGGTGGCTAAGGCTCCCAGGCTTTGGGGAAAAGGAGAATCATGGGAAGGAAACAGAAAAACCGGAAGAGATGAGGAGGAAGCCACCATGGGTTATGTGAAGAGAGAACCACCTGGGCCAGGAGGAAGGACTCCAAGAATGGTGTGGATAGAGGAAGCAAACCAGATGAAATATAAACAAGTATTTATAAAATTATGGATGGGAAATAGGCCAAATAGGAATGGTTAAGGTGGATGGCATTGGACGGGGGCAGGGAGGTAGACAGGAAGGTTATTGAGATAATGTAGGTGGAATTATATGCCCAGCCAAGGTGTAATAAAGCAATTATAAAATCTAACTGGTGTCTGTGTCTTATTGTGATAGCGGGTTAAATGATATTGCCATAATTATAGGGTTAATAAAAAACATTATTTGGCTGATACCATTTATTTTCAATAACAGCTTTATCACATTGATTACATTTGCAGGGTTATATGACAATGTGTGTTATTTATTTGATGACTATAATACACAAATGTTAGGAACATGCAAAAGAAAATTGCCCTAAGTATTGCCTTTTTGTTTTCAGACTCTATTTAATCATAGGATGAAACTAAGTTCAATTTCTCAGGCCCCAGAAGACCTGGGGACTTCCCAATATCTGACAAGCTTGTTATTCATCTTTTGCTCCCCAAAACATGACTAGCTTAAACACGGCTTCTGTTCCCCAAAACATGACTGCTCTCAATAAAAGCTTCTTGTTATTGATCCTTTATTTATTTATTTAACAGAACCTAATGACTTCTTAATCACAAAAGAACAAATGGATTAGATTGGGTATACTGTATAACCTACAGTCTCTATCAGTTGACACAAATCAACCACATAAGGAAAGTCCCTCTCCCTAAATCCTGATTGGTGGAAAAATGTAATTATAACTTGGCACAGATGTTTGTGGTTTTCAAGTTTAAAAGCTCTGTAACATTCTCTCTTGGAGGTAGAGGGTGGGGAGTGGGCAGGGGAGTTGCAGTTCAGCTCCCAAGTCTGTTTTGTGTCCCTGACAGATGAGTAAGGAGTTACAATAAATCCTTGTCAACTGCATTGACCCAGTGTTTGAGTTGGGTTGGATTTAAGCTGACCCCATAAAACTAATTACATTTGTTAGCACGTCCTTTCATCTGCATTCAGAGATAACTGTGGTGAAGGCTTTACCACATTGCTTACATTCATAGGGTTTCTATCCAGTGTGACTACTTTCATGATGATGAAGACTATAGAAATGTGCAAAGGCTTCACCACATTAAATAAAAACATAAGGCTTCTCTCAAGTATGATATCTTTCATGCCATTTAAGATGACTATGTTGTGCAAAGGCTTTGCCACACTGCTTACATTCATAGGGTTTCTCTCCAGTATGTGTTCTTTCATGTATTTGGAGAGTACCAAGTTGTGAAAAGGCTTTACCACATTGTTTACATCCATAAGGTTTCTCTCCAGTATGTGTTCTTTTATGTATTCGAAGAAGACTATGATATGCAAAGGCTTTACCACACTGGTCACATTCAAAGGGTTTCTCTCCTGTATGTGTTCTTTCATGTATTCGGAGATGACTGTGACATGCAAAGGCTTCATCATATCGAATACCTTCAGAGGGTTTCTCTTTAGTATGAATTCTTTCATGCCTTTGAAGATGACTGACACATCCAAAGGGTTTACCACATTGGTTACATTCATAGGGTTTCTCTCCAGTATGTGTTCTTTTATGTCTTTGGAGATGACTGTATTGTGAAAAGGCTTTATCACATTGATTACATTCATATGGTTTCTCTCCAGTATGTGTTCTTTTATGTATCTGGAGACTAGTGTGACACACAAAGGCTTTACCACATTGGTTACATTCATAGGGTTTTTCTCCAGTATGTGTTCTTTTATGTATTTGGAGACTATGGTGTTGTAAAAATGTTTTATCACATTGATTACATTTGTAAGGTTTCTCTCCAGTATGAATTTTTTCATGTCTTTGAAGACTACCTGGATGTCCAAAGGCTTTACCACATTGCTTACATTCATAAGGTTTTTCTCCAGTATGTGTTCTTCTATGTCTTTGAAGACGACTGTGTTGAGAAAAGGCTTTACCACACTGACTACATTCATACGGTTTCTCTCCAGTATGTGTTCTTTTATGTATTTGGAGACTACTGTGACACACAAAGGCTTTATCACATTGGTTACATCCATAGGGTCTCTCTCCAGTATGACTTATTTCATGTCTGCAAAGATAATTGGCACATGTGAAAATTTTATCACATTCATTTAACTAATGAACCTTTTTATCTTTTATTATTTAATTTGGTCTAGTTGTAAAGAGGAAGCACATCTTAAGGTTTTATCACTTTGTTTGTATTCATGGTGTTCTCCTTCATTATGGGTTGTAAAATCATTTATTACATGGCTCATATTTATTGTACTCTTTTCTACATGAGACTTTTTGTAGAGAACTAAAAGGACTAGAAGAACTAAGAGAACTAAAAGAACTAAGCGATTTACCACACTGATTGTATGCATAAATATTCCTGTACTGTGAATCATACTATACTTGCAAAATAAACCAGGACAAACAGAAGAATTTCCATATTCTTTGTACTCAGGAATTTTCTTCAGTGTAAATTTGTGGGTATATTCCCAATAAAGTTAGAAAATCAATTGTAACTTATGTCCCATTCAGAAAGTCTATACAAAGTGGGGGCTTCTATATATCTTTTAATTGTTCTGGGAGAGAGAGGTATGTTTCTTCTTCCAATGTCCCTATACTCACATGGTTTGTATCAATTGTAATATATGATATACCTATTAAAAGAACCATAACAAATGAAAGGGTTCCACATTGCATTCAAATATTTTTTTTGTTTGTTATAAACATGTGATATAGGAATTAAGGTTTCTCCACAACATTCTTGATTCTCATAAACCACCCCCTTCCTAAACTTAGTAACATTACTACAAGTATATGAGTAACACCAGCTTTACTATTAAGTATTTGTTTATTAGAAGGCTTTGGACATATACTTATGAAGTATATTCAAGGTTTATACCTCTTACAGTTTCTGAGTGGTATTAGACTACAAGATTGGCAGTTCTACAGCATAGCTCTAATGGGGCAGAGATATCTGTTAAGGCACTGTTTCCTGGTCTTCTTTCTTAGAGGAATGCCTTATAACCAAAAATCAGACACCTGACATTGAGGAAAATGATTTTATAAGGATTTAATAATCATCAATACACTTAAAGCAATGATTATTTTTACCCTGCTGCTTTTCTTTAAAACTTCCAGGACACAGTAAAAATTTTTCAAAGGCATATTTGTATCAGTACACACATGAAAATTACCTTCCATGTCTTCTAGAACTTTGAAAATGTACTTCAATATTATGGTCTTCCCAATTGTAGCCTAGAATATAGTACAAGAAAATAGATGGTTAATACATTTAGATTATGTATGTATGTATGAGTAATACAATTAGGCAAAATTTAAGTTACTATCTTCAGTGGACCTTAGAACCATGCATGATTTATTCCCATCATTCTTCCTCATTCTCAGTTGAAATTATAGAAGAGCATCAATAACCAAGAAATCAATAACCAGTTGTATTCTTATTTTAAAGCACAAAGGAAAATTCAGGCTTACCTATAGCAGTGAGGTTGCTGTAGGTCTCTAGCATCACATCTATGTAGAGAATTTTCTGAGTAGGATTCAGCAATGCCCACTCTTCCTGAGTGAAGGTCACACGCACATCTTCACAGGTCACTGCATCCTAAAATATGCCATACATATGCAGAACAGAAATCACAATACTGACAACACCATAAATGTATACTTCATTGACAATATGGTAATTTAATTCTGTTGCTTCCCAGTCTTATTCACTGAAACAGAAGTTCTAATGTAATCATCAAGTCATTTTAAAAGGAAACTGAATGAGGTTCACCTCTGTCATTTCTGTGCCTCTTGAAAAGGATATAGCCTTGCAAGAGAAATGCCAATTAACAGACATAAAGAGAAAAGCAAACAGATCAACAGTATTGAGAAAACATCAGAAAAATCATATGCCAATTACTAACAACAAAAAAATAATGGGAAAGCTAGGTGTATTGGCTCACACCTTTAATCCCAGCAATCAGGAGGCAGAGGCAGGTGTATCTCATTGAGTTGGATGCAAGTATGGATGTGACCACTTCCAGCTCAGCCACAAGTACATACTAATAACCTGACTCCTTTGCAAAAATCAGTCAAATGAAGAAAAAAAAAAGGCTCAGGTTTTATTTATTTTAATTAAATTTTTATTTATTCAATTTACATCCTGACTGTAGCCCCCTCTCTCTTTTCCTTCCAGTCCCACCCTCCATCCCTCTTTCTTCTTTCCTCTCTCCCCTATTCCTCAGGAAAGGGAAGCCCTCCAAACCTACCCAGCACATAAAGTGAACTCAGAGGTCTTTACTGAAGTTCTTACAAAGAATGATACATTTACTCTAATTCTGTATTCATATTATAGAAACCATGAAGTGCCTCAGTTTAAAATGAAACATTAAAAAGATCTTACTAAAAGAAAATACATGTTTAAACAGTTACAAATAGGCAGATAAAAATATTAGCAATATAAATGTTGACCATAAACAAGCAACATAGTGCCTGAGAGATGGCTTAGCAGGAAAGAGCTCTTTCTGGTCTTGCAAATAATTGGACTCAATTTTGAGTACTTACCAGGGGGTTCACAACTACCCATCATTCCAAGTTCAGGAGTTCTCAGGCCATTTTCTGACTATCAGGCACACGTGAGGTTAATATTCATGCATTGAGTCAAAATACTCATATTCATTCAAAAAAATTAAACATGAACATGAGAGGCCAGAGATTTAAAAATTAGGTTTTTGGGTTATTGAGCTAAAAAATTTAAAACATATCAGGCCAGCTGACCTAGCTGCTTCTAGACAGATCCAGCCAACTGCAGGGAAGAGCTGACCCTGCTACTCATTAGTGCTATCATTGCCAGGAAACTGGCCTGGATGGCCCCTAACTCGTAGCTTTGTCCCTGAAAATAGCACCCACTACCCAAGACTCGCCATTCCCCTGGCAACAAAGAAAGCCAGAACCGTTTCTGAAATGTAGCATCCCCTTTTCTGTTTTAACCACTAAAAGCTTGACAGGCTAGAATCCCCTGCTTTGGGTGCACTGGGAGGGACTGGGACCTATAAATCACCCACAAACCAGAGCTCAGTGCTCTCTGCTGGATATCAAAGCCTTGATGTGTGTGAAAGTTCCAGCCCGAGATGCGAATAAATTTCCTCATGTGTTTTGCAATGGACTTGACTCCTGGTGGTCATGTTGACCCATGTAAATCTAATCTCAGCAGTCTGGAGCCAGGAGTTAGATGGATCTCTAAATTTGAGACCCGCGTGAACTACTAACATCTTTGAGGAAAGCCAGGACTATACAGATAAAAAAGAAGAAGAAAAGAGAGTGAAGGGGTGGAGGACCTCCCCTATCACTGGACTTGGGCAGGGGCATGGGATGAGATGAGGGAGAGAGGGTGGATGGAATTGGGAGGGGCTGAAGGTGGGAGTTACAGCTGGGATACAAAGTGAATAAACTGCAATTAATTAAAAAAAGAAATTATAACCTGTGCAATAATCTAATAAATGTACAGATTTAAAATAAAAATATATAAAAAACAAAAAATATAAAAAAAACAAAAAACAACAAAAACAAAAGCAACACAATTAAATATATAAAAAATTCTGGCTAGCAAAATTCTGGCTTAGAACCGAATAGCAACTGCTTCTATAGTATCTTATGTGATTTATGGACACAGTCTATAATGGTGAGGGTATGACAGCACAAAAAGGAAGCTGAATAATCAGTTTCAACCACAACAGAATAGACGCCAAGAACAGGAAATGGTTTGAATCTATATGCACTGAAATCCCATCCCCAGTATTAAACCTAGAAAGGCTGCTGCTACAAAAGCTTCTATAAGGTCCAGCAAAAAAAAGACATAAAGGAGGGACAATATTTTTAAACAAATCATCCTATCTGGGGACTTTTAAAATTAACCAACTA